CGAACAGATGCCATTGGGCTACACTAGCACGCGACAGGGACAAATGGAGACGTTACTGGCGCCCGCTCGAGCAAATCGCCGACTAACGGGAAGTGAAGTGATTAAGTGATTAAAGATGAGGGAGTGTTGCTGTGAATTTTCTTTGTGATTGTAATGTCAAACCCTTAGCCCAATTCAGTGGATGTGAGAACTACAGATAATAGTGTTTGCTCTTTGTTCTTTTTTTTTCACTTGGCATTTTATTTTATTTTATTTATAGATTTGTTTAATTTTTACTTTTTTTTTTTAATTAGTGAGACACCATGAGGTACAGTTGTAGACTTACAAATTTTGTGCTTGGGCTCTTTGTTCTTTTAATCCTCCTATTTAACATTCTCTAAACCCTGTTCCTCCACAGTCTCCACCTCTTCCCCCACTACTGCCTGCCAACTTCCTCCTCTTTCCGAGTGTGTCTATCTGGGTGGGTGTTCCTGATCAAGACTTTCCCAGCGGGGCTTTTTTGGATGCTCTAGCTCCTGCCTTAAGACTACATGTCATTCCGGCCAGGGACTGTGCCTCTCTAGAAGAGACACAGAGGCTGAGTGTCCAGGAAGTGACCTTGGAGGCTGCTCTGGTCTACATGGTCTTATTCCAGAGACACAACCCCAACCCCTAACCACCTGGATCCAGGACACATGATGTCCCTGGGAATGTTGCTTTAGGAATGGGTAGAAAGCAATCCCAGAAAAAATGTGTTATGACCTGAATCCTGTCACTAGAACAAGGGTCCAGATTTAAGAAAAAAACTGCCAGGAAATAACAATTTTCATGTCAAATGCACAGGAAACTGAAGACCAACAGGACTTGGGATTGTCTTCCACACCCGGAAAGCCAGAAATTATGCCCGAAGTGCATCTGTTCATTGATGCTTGCTCTGATTAGCCTGGCAGGGGACTCATTACTATCATTTCATAGATGAGGGAAGGCTGAATGCTTGAAAGGCTGAATGATTTGCCCATATTCTCCCAGTTTTAAGGAGGAGAGTTTGTGTTGCACAGATCCCAAAGTTCTGGGCACTGGGCAATAGCCAAGATTGTGAATCTGGGTCTTCCCTGCAGTTACAGGCTAGAACTGAGTAGCCTGGTTGACCTTTAGTGCATTCATCTATGGATGCTGTCAGTCTCCTGTGGGGCCCAGTATCTCAGACTACCCCCTAAAGGCCTGGAGGGGAAATTGCAGATTCCAGGGAAGACAATGCCATGGTGCCATGGTGGGTATGGGGTAGATGCCAGCATCTTTTATGTGAAGCATCCAAAACCAAACCATTGGTCTAATGTCAAAACAACCTGCTACAAAGAAAGCACCCAACTCCAGACATAAATCAATCTTCTTTTATTTTGCAGAGTAAACAACCCTATCTCTACCCTCTTATTTAGTGTTTTGCTACCTTTTCCTAAGCTTGGCCTATTTTCAATCTCGTTTTCTTCCCATGGTGCACATGTTCTATCAGTTGGCCCCCTAGTCCATGATGCAGCCCCCAACTTATGCAATTTTCACTTGTGTCCACCTTAGAAAATCCTGGAGACCCAGAAGTGGACCTTATGGCTCCTGGTTGAGGAACACCAGTCACCCCTCACAGTCAACTGACACTCAATAGATGGAACTACTAAGACATGTCAAGTGTCTTCCCAGCGTCATGTCCTCTGAGATAGTGTGAAAGAAGAGGAACATTTACTGAATATCCATCCTGTGCATGCACACTTCTGTTCAGCGATTCAGCACTAAGAAGACCAAGACAATTTTTTCCTGCCGAGATGGCAGCCACTCTGCCACTTGTGGTGTCTTAGCACTCGAAATATGGCTAGAGTGATGGAGGAACTGGATTTTTACATTTATTTTTTCAACTAATTTAAATGTAAAAACAGAAGCAGGGTAAAGTGTATTTACTTGTTAAGTACAACATTTATCTTTTGAATACCGTATTTCAAAAGCAGATTCATATATGTATATATATATTGCTTAAAATTTAGCATATGAATTGAGAAGTGCTGTAAGTATAAACTTCACACCAGATTTCAAAGAGATAGTGCAAAAAACAAAGAATGTAAAATAGTTTTTCACTGGTATTTTTAAATACTGATATATGTTCAAATGATAATATTTGACATAGAGATTGGATTAAACAAAAATATTAAAATTAATTTTGACTATCCTTTCCATTTTTAAAAACAAATGACTGAAAAAGTTAAAGGACCAGGGGCTGGAGCTATAGTACAGTGGGTAGGGATTTTGCCTTGCATGAGGCCAACCCGGGTTCAATTCCCAGCATTTCATATGGTCCGCTGAGCACCACCAAGAGTAATTCTTGAGTGCAAAAACAGGAGTAACCCCTGTGTATTGCTGGGTGTGACCCAAAAAGAAAAAGAAAAAAGAAGTTAAAGGACCGTGTTAGGTGCTGCCTCAGATTATGAGCTGTTTCATAGAAGAACCTAAAAGAAATTCATCCAACACCAATTCTCTATGTACCCCATCACCTTCCCACACACCTCACCCTTCCCCAAGGGAAGTAAGGGTAGCAAATGACAACAGTGGACATGAGCGAAGACTGACTCCCTCACAATGCTCACACCTAATTTATTGTGCCCTCAATTCACATTCGTCATTCAAATGCGGTCTGTTCTTTTCATTGTTGTGTTGGACATTGCTGATGTCCTGATTCTCAACAATTGCCACCTCTTGCTCCATCACTGCCTTCACCCCTCTACCCCTCACTACCAAGCATAGTTTCACACATACGGTGGCTCTGGAGGCTTTTGAAAGGGGGTGCTATTGCTCCTGGGTGGGGTGTGGAGAAGAGTCTGGAGTGATATTTAATGGTCACAATGGGGAATGTGGAATCCAAAGGGCAGAAACTAGGGATGCTGCTAAATGTTCTCTCAACACACAGGCAGTCCTCTACAATAAAAATGATCTGTCTCTAGGTGTAAAGAGTGCCAAAGTAGAAAAATCCCATTTTAAAGCATGATGTTATTGGACAGAAGGTCAATAACTAGAGCAACAACATGAAGATCAAGTTAGTTGTTGGGCAAAGGCCTTCAAACCACTATGAGGGGCAGAGAGATGCCTTAAAGGGCCTGAGCATACACTTTGCATGTGTAAGGCCCTGAGTTTGTTCCCCAGGACTTCACAACTATACAAGCACCACCACGGATAGTCATGGAAGTTCTTCAAACATTGTCAAGATGGCCCCATTGGCCCTCTGCACCACTGGGACTAAACATGATCATATTGCTCAACCCAAGCATGGAATTGTCCAATACCATTGGCTGAATGTCAACAGGAGCAGTCCCTGGAAATCCTGAGTATTGCTTGGGAGCATCTAACCCTCAAATGTAGTGAATTCTTAGCAGTAATGATGGCCAGGGACCATTCTCCCTACTTCTAAATAAGAAAATGAGGCCTGGGAAGAGAAGTTAGATGCCCATGATCTCTAAGTTAGAGATAGAGAGTGAGAAATGAACTCAGTCGTCACTTGCTGGAGATGCCAGGGTTCCCCTGCTTCTTAATGAGATTCTCAGGTCCTGAAACCGTTGGGAGACGGAAACAGACCATGTGTGATTCCAGTCTGACACCTCCCACACAAACCTCATTCAGACTGGCCAGTGACTATTGACATCAATCATTCTTACAACCAGTGGATGTGCAATCAGAAAAAAAGAAACTTTGAAAGGAACAGACTACACAGAAAGAAACACTTACAGGCACCTCAGCCATCAAATGCTGCTGAGAAGTGTGTAGAAATAAATGGCACACAATAAAATAAAGCTGTCAGAGCAGGAACATTCCAGTGACTCAGAAGGTAAGAGGTAAGAACAAATGTGCCTGATAAGGGATTGGCACTGTTTAAAGAAAATATTATCAGCCAGCTGGACTTGAATAGAGCCCAGAGAACAATCACCCAGCAGAGGGGGAGCAGCTAATATACACGTGTCTGGGAATTGAGGTCCTTAATATGGTTCTTAAAGTGACTTCAGTACAGCTCAAAGGACTGAGTGTACTTTGCATGCTGGAAGCCCGGGTTTGATATTCAGTGTTGCATGACTCCCCCAATGTAGCAGTAACTTCTGATCACTGCCAAGTGTGTTCCCCCACCCCTTCAATCAACAATCACAAAGATACAGTGATTGAAGAGTAGGTGACAAGAGTGGAATAGGCAAGAGAAGACTGAACATTGCTTAAGGCCCCTTAATAGGAAGATGCCTGGGTGTTGGCAATGTTGCTTGGACTCTGTGAGGGTGGTTGACAGTAGGGACAAAATGTGGCCCTTGAGAATACGATTGAGGCTCTGTGTAGACAACCTCATATCAGGCACCTGAGTGTGCAAAGTCTAGGAGCCAATAGTACCCCGAAGAAGTGGCCATTATTATTTCCATGTTGGTGGGAGAAGTGGGGATCATCACACTTAATGGACTTGTCTAGAACAAATGCTAGAGCTGGTCATAGCTATAGCAAATCATCTCCTATGCATAGACTGTGAGTTGCACTGTCTTCTGGTCTCAGATCATAGCTTCCCCCTTCCCAGGGAAGCACTCTTCAAGCTCTAGGGGCTTGGTCCATTTTTCTGACCACACATACCTCTCCTGAGCAACCTTCATTACCCACAGGTGCAGCTACTCTGATGTTTGTGTAGTTTTGAAATAATGGCTCTTTCTACCACCAGGAAGACTTGCCAAAAGCATGTTATCTTTGCCTCAGCATTGTATCTCTTAGTGCCTAAAACAGTGCCTGGCACATAGTAGGTATTTTGTAAGCACTAGTAGGACAGATGAATAAATGAGTGAACAGATAGGTGGAGGGGAGATGGCAGGATGGATGGGAGGGTGAATGGATGAGTGGGTGGGAGATGGGTGGGTGGGGATGTGTAGGGGTTTCTAGTTCCTCTTAGTGCACCTGGCCTAGAGGACCCACTGAGGGGGAGCCTCTCTCATTCCCTCCCTCCATCCCAGGGCTCTGATGATCACCTGTGGTGAGGAGGCAGAGTGGAGTCCCCGGGGTCACCTGGGCGCTGCCCATTGGTGCTGACCACAAGGAAGCCAGTCCCCAGGCAGCATGCAGAAGAGAAGGAGAGAGAAACACACATGAACACGTGCACTGCGGTGAACAAAAACGCAATTCTTGTGGCTCTGAAGAGCTCACACTAAACACCAGCAAAAGAACATTGTGAGCTAACAAAACAGGGCTTGAAATAGATTTTTAAAGAGGAAATCAGAGTTGGAGTCACCATTTATCAAGAACCCACGACATGCCAGAGACTCTGCCAGTTACCTCACATACAATGTCTTTGAGACTTTGAGCAGACCAATCTGATTATAAACGAACCAGCTGGCTCTGCACCCAGATATCTGCCCCTGCTGTCCCTTCTTAGTAGACAGTATTGCTACCCATGTAGTTAGAAACCGGGAGTCATCCTCAGCAACTCCTTCCTGTGGACCTCCCACTGCTCATCAGTCTGCAGACCTTATTGTTTTGACTGCAGAAAGCTACTTGCGCATCCCCCTTCTCTCTCATTTCATTTCCACTTTGCTGAAAGCACCCTCTTGGGTTCTACTTGACCGAGTGAAGCAGACTACAGCTGATCTTCCTGTTTCCAGCCTCGTCTTACACTTCTATATCCTGCTCTCAACCTATTCAGTGAAATACACCAGTGTCCCCAATGGTTTCAAGGTAATTTTCAACCTTTCACCTGGTTTCCAGTACCTCAAAGAGAAGTCTCCTATTCTGTCTCTGCTGCTGGCCATCACCCTTCTGGTTGGAGCCCAAATAGCTATCCACCACCCAAAATTCTGCTGTCCCTGGACTTACTCAAGCTCATCATTGAGTATGAAACAACTTGCTTCCTTCCTCTACCACTGGCTGAAAGGTGCTTATGGTTGTCCATCAACAACTTGTTCTCTGGGAGTCTACAGGGTCTCACTCTGTACTGAACATATATGTCTTCTCACTACAAAGCCTTTCCCTCTTATAGCAGTACCCTCGCCAGGTCTAAGTGGCCACCTTCCTTGTCTCTCTGTAATCTCTTTGAAGGTCCTCACTATGCCACATGCAATACTAGACTATCATGCCTGGTATTGTACCAGGCATGGATGGCAGCTAAGTGGACATTTGTGAAATGAAATAATGATTGGATGAAGGCACAAATGATGAATCAATCAGAGAACTGATTTAACTTGCTTAAGATCACTAATCTGGCAAGGCAGTATTCAAACCCTAATTTTCTTGGCTTTAATGTTCAAGCCCATTATTTGCCTCTCTAAAGAAAGTGATATGAAATGTGAACAGGGGTCCTAGAATGTCCAAGAGTTGCATGCTTTTCTAATGATTCAGCAACAAAATAGTAAAAAGTTCTGAGAGAGAGAGAGAGACAGAAGGAGAGAGAGAGAGGAAGAGAGAGAATGAACAATCTAGATATACAGATAAGCAGGCTATGCCTAATTGAAACACTTGATACAGGTAGCGAGATTGATTCATAACCATGAAATACTAAAATATTTAACCACTAGTCAATCAATATACTCTTCCCTTAAATGGTAAGGAAGTTTATATTTTGAATGGTAAATGCAAATAACTTAAATGAGACTTCACCATTTTCTTTTTTTTTAGAATTTCAATTAATTATTTTATTTAGAATTTTTTTGTTGAAACACTGTGAGCTACACTTAAAAAGCTTTCATGTTTGAGTTTCATTCATAGAATGATTGAACACCAATCCCTTCACCAGTGTACATTTTTCACCACCAGTGTCCCCAGTATCCTTCCCCTCCCACCATCCCACTCCTCCTCCTGCCTCTATGGCAGACAGTTTCCCTCTTTCTCTACTTACGGGTATTATGGTTTGCAATACAGATAATGAGAAGCCATCATGTTTGGTCCTTTTCTCTACTTTCAGCACACATCTCCCATCCCAAGCAATTCCTCCAACCATCATTGACTTAGTGATCTCTTCTCTATCCCAACTAACTTCTCCCTCAGCTCACGAGGCAGGTTTCCAACTGTGGAGCAATGCTTCTGGCCCTGACTCTTCTGTCTTTGGGTGTTAGTCTCATATTTTTATATTTTATATTTTGCAAATGAGTGCAGTCATTCTATATCTGTCCCTCTCTTTCTGAATCATTTCACTTAGCATGATACTCTCCATTACTATCCACTTATAAGCAAATTTCATTACTTCATCTTTCTTAGCTGCATAGTATTCCATTGTGTAGATGTACCAGAGTTTCTTTAGCCAGTCATCTGTTCTCGGACACTCAGGTTGTTTGCAGATTCGGGCCATTGGACTTCACCATTTTCAAAATACATTTTGAAATTCATACCTCTAAGCCAGAGGTATGAATCATGGCTTGTGGGCCGGAAAGTGAGTTAAGTATGATTTTTACATTGTTCAATGTTTGGAGGGAAACTAAAGAAGATACAATGTTGTGATCCTTGAAAATAATATAAAACTCAGATCCCAGTGTCCATAAATAAATTCTGATTGAAACACAGCTGTGCTCAGATTGTATATTCCATTTACTGCTGCTTTTGTGCTGTGGCAGCACTGAGTAGCTGGGACAGAGAAAAGATAACCTTCAAAAATCAATGTATTTTCTCTCTGACGCTTGAGAGAAAAGTTTAGGTACGCAGGACAAAGCATCTTAGTCTTGCATGGCAGAGAAAAGGAGGAGGAGAGAATTGAGAACTCAGATGCCCCCCTATAGCCTCTATAAGCAGACCCCTGTTCTCCCAATTCTCGGCCTGGGCTGGGCTTGCCTTGGAATCCAACTCAGACCCATTCCATGGAATTTAATTGGAGGGATTTAATTGGAGGGATTTAATTTAATTGGAGGGATCTTCATTGACAAGGCAGTATAAATATGCACGACCAAGGGTCCCCTCTCACCCCCATACACATACCCATTGCAAGGCATGTATATATACATACATGTATATATACATACATATATATATTTATATGTGTGTGTATGTGTGTGTGTGTGTGTGTGTGTGTGTGCACTGTCCTCCTATGGTTCATCGATTTGCTCGAGCAGGCACCAGTAACGTCTCCATTGTAAGACTTGTTGTTACTGTTTTTGGCATATCAAATACATCACGGGTAGCTTGCCAGGCTCTCTGAGAGGGGTGAAGGAATGGAATCTAGGTTAGCCACGTGTAAGGCAAATGCTCTACTCGCTGTGCTATTGCTCCAGGCCTATGTGTGTGTATAATATATAAATATATATATTTATATACACACATATATAGGCTATGTATATATATATATACATAGCCCATATATATACATAGCCCTATGTGTGTGTATAATATATATATATATATATATATATATATATATATATATACTCTTTAGAGTTCTTGGGGTCCCTTTAGATAACCATCTTATCATTTCTCACCTCCTTTAGTCACATCAAAATTCGAGCTATTGTTCTAGTCCTTTCTTATTCAAGTTCAGAGGCATGGTCTCTAGCCTTCAGTATTTTGAACATGTTACTTCCTCAGCTCAGATCTCTCTATTTTACTCTGCATCTTTATTCAGTATGATCACTGTCATATTTCTTACAAAACTGGTCTCAGGGACCACATACCCAAGAAAGTCTACTGAGCGTGTCCTTTTCTGTGCTCCCATAGGATCCTGAATTTACCTTCTTTGCAGCCCTTTATCATAGCATAGCCAGGTAATTGATCTGTTTATTGTTCTCCCACAAATTACTACTTGTTGAATTCTTATTTCAAGACAGACATTGCACTAAGCACTTATTCCAAGTCAGACATCGCATCAGCTCACTGAGTTCACTTATTTCATTATCCCCATAAAATAAGTGTTGATACTGTCATTACTTTCTAAACAGGAAAATCGAAACACAGAGCACTCAACTGTCTTTTCCAAACTAGAACCAAAGATGCCCAAATCTGAGAATAAACTTCTTAGCCTTCAGGGAACAAGGTTAAATATTGATATTAAGTTTTAGTCAACAAATGTTGATTGAAAACTTAATGAATCGATAAAATCCCGGTTTAATACTTTTCACTTATTGACTGTGACACTTGGAAAATTACATAGGTTTATGAGCTTCCATTTCTATATCTATAAAATGGGGTTAGTATGAATCTCAGGAAGTTATTTTAAGAATTAAATGGAAATAAACAGTTAAAGGCTTACTTAACTAGCAGGCATAGAGCAGGTTCTCCCCCCCACCCCCCAACCCACACACCTCACCCTGCTTCATCCCTCCATCTAGGGCTACTTGCTAAATAGGAATACTTGGGTATAATGAGTAGGAACAGAGGTATAGCCAGACAAGTAGAAGAACAAGGCAAAGTTTTCATACAGGAAAGATGAAGTAACAGAATATAAGTGATGGGTCATGGTCTCAGCAGGACACAAAGAAAATCAGAAATAGGAAAAGAGTTCACATGTTAAATATATAATCACAGTTTTCATATATCAACACATACCAATTTATGAAAAATTATATATCATACAGATAATTAGTGTTTATAAAAACTAATCTGTTTCTTCTTAGATGCAGAGAAGAATACTAGTCTCAACAAGGCCACGTAAGCAGAAGTGACATCAGTCACTTGTAAGTAAGGAATTTAAGATATAGGCTATCACTTCCTTGCTTTCTCTTCCCCTTCTGTGGTTACCTGAGGCCATATACATTCTTGGTGGCCTCACAACAAACAAACTACTAGTATTCAATAGAAATACTTTAATATTAATTTGTGATTGCAGTAAAGCCTAACCTATCCTGACTAGTTCCACAGAAGAAAGAGGGTTTAACTATCTTGGCTTTTATTTTATCATATAGTATTCTCACACCTCATCATATGCATTTTTTTACCAAAATAAAATATTCTCCCCACAATTTCTAGACCCAGTATTAAAGTATTTTTTTTTGTTCAGGAAATCGTGAAAATATTGAGACCCAGAAAAAATAGATCAGAATTCTGAATACTTCAGAGTTCCTTTATGATTTTTCCCTCCCACTTAAAGCAACAAATATTAAATGGTGATCAAAGG